GCACCACAGCTGTAAAGGAAACTGCCTTTTAATGTTATAGATGCCGAGGAGCCTTGCATGTGGGATTTGGTTATTTTGTTTATTATGTCTTTTAATGGCTTATGGTCTATTTGTATTTGTGGTGCTAGCATTTACAGTACACATGTTTTGTTACTATTGAGGATTCTTGTTCACCCACCTCTGCATACTGTACATAAATCAGGCTTCACCTGCTCTTAGCTGTGTTGGGAAAGTGTCTGTAGAGTAGAGATTGTAAGCTGTTGTTTCTTTGAAAATAAAACCCTTTTTTCACCACCTTAAGCAAACCTACAGTACCGCCCTAAATTCTGTCCTATTGCAATATCATACCATGCTAAGCATAAAAGGCTATCATTCCAACATACATTACAACATAGATAGATAGATAATACTTTATTAATCCCGTAAGGAAATTGATGAACATGTCTACTGTATATTAACTAATATTTAGAGGTATTAGATATAATATTAGAGGCATATACAGAGGTGTGAAAATTGGTGACCCTTGTGTTTTATGGAATCAATTATTTATGAAAATACAGTACAACTTTGTGCAGTATTGTTATGATTACAACATAACAACATTTAAGACTTTTTTAGATATGTTTAGAGAGTAAAGGCTTAGCTGCTTAAAGTTCTACTGCAAGGACAGCAGCAAAGGATAAGGAGGTTATTATTGTCATTAGGATTTGACTATTTCTAGAATTACCACTGCCTTTTACCACACTAAAAACATAAGGGGGACAGAAATATAAATGGAGCAGAACTATTAAATCTTTATTACTTGAGCTATGGGATTTATGTGCATTGCTGTGCTATCAACAAGAATTCATTTTAACTTAGCAATTTGTCAGAACTGTAAATTCTAGAGAGCACAACAGAGTTAAATTTGTTTTAACATAAAAAAGGTTGATTACGGTATGTGTATGTTTGAGATGATTATACTGTATATTTATAAGTTGTAAAACAAATAAAAGGGTTTAATTATATACAATATACCGTATAAACACATGTTCATTGGATTTTGGATTTAAATTGGGTAAAACAGCTTTTAAACACTTCTCAATAGTTTCTATTTTATTTGAAAGACGTGAGGCCAAAACATTTTGTTTTTTTTGCCTTAAATCATTTGTCTCAGAAATCCCACCAGGGAGTGAAAACCCTAACTGGACCTATGATACATTACAATATTATAGTTCTAAGTTTGATGAGGGAAAATTATTCACAAAGAAACGACAAGCTCCAGTGCTTTAGGCACATTAAAATCTTAATTGTTTGAAGGAACAGGAAGTTATTTTGCTGCAAATTACATTTAGTAGAAATAATTTCTACTCACTGAATTCATTAAATAAATGCAGAGTAACTATTCAAAACCATGCTAAAATTAAACTGCATTATCCAAACAAATCAGCACTTACATATACAGTATGTACTGCCCACCATAAGAATTGGGACAATTAAGTAACAATTGCGATTTTTACTGTGTACTCGAGCAACTCTACTGATCTGTGATGAAAAGATTAATATGATGCAAAATTACAAAATGTCACCTTTCATTTTTGTGAATTTCTGTGCATGTACAGTATGCTTTAACGTTTTAGAAAAATACAATTTTCGTGTTCCATCCCCCTATTTTAGGTGAGCTTAAGTTTTGGGACAAATTAAAATAAAGTAAATTAAAGTAGTACAATACTGGATAAAGCTTCTAACACATTGCCAACACCAAACTCGTTTTGTTTGTTCTTTTGTGGTGCTTTGCTGAACCTTTGCTTCAGCCATTTTCAGTTGATGTTTGTCTTGGGGGGTATCTAATTTCAGTCTCCTTTTTAGCAGGGGAAATTCATGCTCAACCAGATTTAAATCAGAAGATTGACTTAGCCAATCCAAGACCTTTCACTTTTTTCCCCTGATGAACTACTTGGTTGTGATGGCAGTGTTTGGTCATTGTCCTGCTGCATAATGAAGCAAATGAGTCTGGAGGCATTTCCTCTTACTAAGGCAGACAAGATGTTTCTGTATACTTCTACCATCATTAGTTGTACCATCAATAAACATGAGTGAGCCAGTCCCAGAGCTCAGGCCATGACACTGTCTCTACCCTTTTCACAGATGAAGTGGTATACTTTGGATCATCTGCAATTCGGTCTTTTCTCCACTCTTTCTCTACCTTGCCATCACTTTAGTAGAGGTATATCTATGTCTCATCTGTCCATAACACTTTGTGCCAGAACTTGACTAGCTCACCTCTGTAGTTTTTAGCAAATTGCAACCTGGCCTTTCTATTGTAACAC